GAAACCAAATGCAAGTCTTATGGTTTGTTTTTGTTTTCAAAAAAAATCTGACGCGTTTATTATACTCAATATGGAAAAGACGCGCTTTAAGTTTTACATGTCTAGAGGCCAATTTTTTTCTTAACACACTGTATGTTTAGAAAATTAGCTGGAGACATCCGATCGGGCTGAAATTCTACAGATAATCAGGGGTTGTTATAACAGGAAAATTTTCAAAGCGTCTGCTCATCTTGTCTCGAATTAGGGGGCGTTCGGATACTTATGACCGCTACTGTACGACCGTTTGCTACAACTTGCATAACCGACGAAAGAGTTCTCCACACTAACGTATGCGCAGGGAAAGTTGTTACTGTACGTATGTTTATTAACTTATTCAGGTATACGTCTTTTCAACAAACAGATATTTTTTCATCAGTGAAATAATCACGTCGTAAAATAATCCAATCAATTATTACAATATTTATGATACTACTTAAAATTACATAGAGTTACTTCCTCAATTTTGAAAAGTTTTCCGACACATAAGCTCGTTCTTCCACTACTTTGCCAACTAGACCGCCTTGACTAAAGAAACAAAAATTATGAAGCTCATTGCTTCGTTATTATTCTAATCAGTGCGCTAAGTCTATTTGCATATTTGGAGACTCAGAAACAAAAACAGAGAAAAGAGATATAATAAATGCTCTATTGGAAAAGCTTCTTCTGACAAGGTAAGTTTACAGATCAAGTTCTCCTTCAATAACCAAGCGACCTAATACGTATGCCTCCCAGTTACTGCGGCGACAGTCTTAACTCTCAGAGACGCCGATGCCTAATGAGTGCCTCTGTTGGAGGATGTAAAGAACGACTTGGATCAGATGATAGCATGAATAGCTTTAACGAGGGACCCGTTCATTTCCCCCGACAATTACCGTATTTCTCCGACATGTACCCCGTGCACTATGCCCTGCGGCAATTTTGAACGTTTTACCCGGGTATAAGTTATGGTATTCTTCCGGCATATATACACCTGTGACTTGTACCCTCTTCTAACTTGCCAATAAAAACTGCGAATTAAAATTTAACACTACAAACAGCGACAGAAATCTACGATTATTCCCAAATATTATCATCTCCGTACTCTTCGCCTCAATATACAGTATTACTTCATCATTTTCGCCCGTTACATTCTCAGTTAGCAATACTAATTCAAGACATGAGACATAAAAAAGGTTACCCGTAATCATAATAATAATCGAATTTTAATGTTAATTCGGAGTTCTTACTATCAGTATTTATCTAATGCTAGGAAATCTTTGATGGAATTTATCGGCAGCCAATAGAATTGAGATATGTACCCACTGTATCACTATGATGTACCCCTTACATGAGTACCCTGGGCAAAGGGAATACACATGTAGGTGAATGCGGTACTTCCCCGACAATCATTCCCGAAAAATATTTCGAAGTTATCTTCTGTCGATAAATTGATTTAGGTAAAAATAAATCTGGTGGGCAAATTTAGACGGTTTTGATAAGCATTAACAGATCGGTCGAGGAAACCCCTTTAACTAGATTAATATTAATACAATGCTGCGATTATCTCTGTTCACGTGTCTAGACGATATCGTTCTGGGTTCTCTCCATGCATAACATAGGGGTATGTGGAAGACGACGCATCCTCTTGCATTGACGTGCACTTATCTCCAAGTCTCATAATGGGATTGAACACTTACTGTACATTTAGAGAAACGTTGCAGTTGCATCTGGGGAGGATGCAATTAGAGAGTTTATTGCATCTTAGCGGGGATATCACTTCCAGAAAAAAAATTGTGTATTGCTCATAGAAATGCAAATGGACATTGAAAAACATCTTCCAGAGGTAAATGCAATGTTGGGAGAAAAATAAAAGTTTCAGCGGGAGAACAGTCCTAGTCCTATTAATTTTGTGAATTCAATAAAGTGACGTTTTTTGAAGCAGTTATTGCGAAACGTTGTAAAAGAATAAAATCCAAGCTTTTATTCGATATATAATACTGTACATACTTACTAGCGCAGTACTGACAAAGAAACATTACTTTCAAGCTTTCTTCTCTTCATACTGTACTTCATCTAATACTAATCGTATTATGGGAACAGCCACAGGGCACACTGGCGAGAAGAGTCCTCGTTATACACCATCGCTACACACTCACCAAGTTGTCAGCATCTTAATCGAAGGTACAACGATGATGGGCCAGCGTGTAATGGATAACGTAGAATGAAATAAAACACTTTATATATCATTATGAGACTAACGTGAGATTGTGAATAAGTTTTAAGAGTCTTTAACAGATTTGAGATCAACGATTCTGATTAGGCGGTCTATAGCGCATACATACTATTCCTCATCGGATGGCTTCCTTGTGAATCAACGTTCTATAGCGATTATTTGTTCTGCTTATAAATAATCTATCGCTCATAACCCAGGTCAATTAACATGTTAATTTTTAAATTTTCCCTATAAACAATGCTAACCAGTCTGAAGCAACAATTTATCTAGAAAAGGGTTAGCATAATACATGTACTAGTATTGTCGTCAGTGCGATTGTTAATATAATGGGGGGTGACTACGCCATTACTACTTAATATCGTTAGTAGAAGTAAGCCCGAGTCACACGTCTAAGTCACGTTATTTGATGTTTAGATTTTCTCCGTTTAACACCGATATAGAATAACAAAGATCTCCCTATCCCCGCAGTATCTCAAATCCATCCAGTTTCAATACCTGTTGTTGTGGGAATTGTATTACATAATTTGTGACACGTTTACTAAATGCGGTCTCATTTACAATTTGCATATTATCATTCTTACTACGGCGTATATGAATAGAATACTAGTACGCCCAGACTGCTATCATCTTTTCTTTGAGTTTATCAAACGCTACTATCATGGAAATTGGTGTGATCATCGTCCCAAAATATGGAACTGTATTCAATGAACACCCGATCCTGTGGCGCTGCTATGCAGAAGGAAATGCAGCCCACAGGCTCGAGCGCGATGTGAAATGACTGCGCATGTGTGTCCAAATTTACAGGGTAGATAGACGAAAGGCATGGCCATAATTGACTAAAGGAAATTAACTGAAATTAGCGTAAACATCCATATTAATATCAATATCGATATAGTAATAGACAATCCCACATCAAAATATCATTGATAATATTTCCTGTGCGCCATTTATAACATATTAAAAAATCTCGAGTTTTAAAGTTAATCATGTGAGCATGAGACGAACATTTCTTCTAGTACCCAGTTCACATACCGACTATAGTAAGAAATGGTAAATTTAGTGACCACATGTGACTGACTTGACATTGGCGAAAAGGGGGGATGTATCTACTGGCACTGTCAAACATGACCTTAACACACAAGAGGTGCTCTTGAGAGTTTTTTTAATTTGGCTATAATCAAAACCTCTTAGCTTTAGATAGTCAGCATATACTAATATATCTCACATACTTGTAAAGTGGAGGGAGTAGCTTCGTGGTTTAAGAATTATTCGGTTTTATATAGTTCCCGACACAATGGCGCAAAAAGATTCTCGCGGCGTAGCTCAAGACGAACATCAAAGCTTCATTGAGTGGTGCATTCGCACTGCTGTATTTGTGGTGTTCTATGGTAAGCCGTTTATTTCTCGTTCTTACTCACATGTTTGACATACTCTCGTTTCTCGCGTGCGATATCTTAGTAGTTCACCTTTGCTTTTATCGTTATTTTCTGTCTCACTTTAACCCCGTTTCTTTTATTCCCGCCTTTTGTAATGTATCACAATCTTTGAATATCTTTTAGCTGGTCAGTCCGCAATGATAAATCTATCCCAATTCCTTGGTCTCTTGCTGTATCCCTTCTCCAAGGCTCTTTATCACGATTACATTCAGCAAACACAAAAATGCTTTGGGATGCTTCTTGTTGCTATTACACAATTTTTCGCACCAAGCGTGTTTGTTGTCACGACAGACGAGTCCGCAAAAGACTTTGTTAAGAAAGATTGGAAAAATGGACGGTTGTTCTTGAACGTCCCCGAAAGAATTATTTTGATTGCGAATCACCAGGTTTGCTGCGGGGGCGGGCAGGAGTAAAACAATACTACGAAAATAGCGAATTCTATTCTAGATATTAGTGTCGGAGCTAAATTCAACTATATTTGTCCGCAAGTTAATGAAATTATGTCTTCAAACTGTTTAGATTTACGCCGACTGGATATACATCTGGTGAGCCTATTTCTCCATACGCATATTGGGAAACTCTCAGTCTGGTGAATTTAACTCTTTTCGTTCGACGTGTTTAGGTGTTTCGCATACTTTGCAAATGCACATGATGCTATCAAGATTATTCTAAAGCAATCACTTAAATGGCTGCCAATATTCGGATGGTAAGCATATCAGTGAGTAATATTACAAGATCTGCATCGTTTGTCATATTGAACTATTAGTGACTTTTCTGTCTCCTTCTGCCAGGGTAAGTTTACTTAGAAATGTTAACTATACCTTGCATTTCAACGGCGAGTAGAACATATTTTTATTGGTCATTAACAGATGGCCCGATTTGTATATAATTATCGTTAACATATGTCACCTCATTCTACTGAAAGTCACTTTTGTCTTGCTTCTCTATGCTATTGTGCATTTCGATTATTAGTCGAGAAATTAAATTGACACGTTCGTGTTTAACATTTATATAGGGAATGCAGTTTTTCCAGTTCATCTTTTTGAAAAGAAGCTGGGTGGCAGATAAGGACCATCTGGAAAAGACAATGCGTGATCTAGCAAAGTCAATGAAGCCGTTGTGGTTGCTCATATTTCCAGAGGGAACGCTCATCTCAGAATGTACGCGAAAAACCTCTCAGAAATTTGCGGAGAAAGCTGGTTTGGTACGTCCAATACGAATCGCGAGAATGTCATAAATATTATTATGAATTCGTAATACGATCTCCATGCTCACATCCACGCTCTCTGCCCCCCGTCTTTTCTTGTATTAATAAAGGTCGACCACAAGCACCTCTTGCTTCCTCGATCAACAGGACTTCTTTTCTGTATGAAGGAGCTTCAAGAGTCTGTAGACTATATCTATGACATGACAATTGGTTTTGATGGTGTTCGATCCGGAGAATTTCCGGAAGACCGTTACACATTACGCCGGATATTTTTTGAAGGACGTTACCCAGCCAACATCCATGTTCATGTTCGCCGATATGCAATTGCGGATATTCCAAAAGATGAGAGTAAGTTTACAGAATGGCTACGACAACGCTGGACGGAAAAGGATGCTCTGATGACAGAGTTCTATTCCAAAGGACGATTTACATCTATTTACGATTCACCCCAGATAGTGAAGATACAGATGAGGAATATTACAGAACTAGCACATATTTGGTATTTTATGGTGCCTTGTGTGATTGTATGGTATTTGGTTAATACTTATAGTTTCGGATGGGCTATTCCATCAGTTTGAGCGAATGATCGGGGGGTGCGTGCATTTACTCGAGTAGAGTTATTATGTATAGCTTTTATATATGAACTTGAAACACGTTTGTTCTCAATTCACTGGTGGGATATCTTATCCGAATAGTAGGGGTATTAGTATGTTACAACTGGGCAGGATGACTGCTGTATTTCTATTTCGATATTTGTCCCAACTCGTTTCAAATTTCATTAGAATATTTCCACAACTTCCTTAAAACATATTCTTTGAATACACTTGTCATATATTGCTTTAATGATCTTACCATATGTACATATTATTGATTTTGTATCCCGTTGTAACGTTTCTTTCGTATAACGCATCTGATATGCTGACTTATTCATTAAAGGACAGAATATTTAAAAGACTATTATGTTAACAAACAGGAATTTCGAACTGTTTGTTACGAGGTTATGGTTTGTAACGTAACGTAAGATATCGAGTTGGGATCTGCTCACGTGGATGATCTTCAAGCATCTAATTTCGCAAATATAAGTTTGTTTTATTTCTTGCAGCCACTAACCAGTCTCAGCAATTGTTGAACACATGAGCTAAAAAGGAACAAACCTGAGTGTTTACTGTTTTCATAGTATGTTGATAGACATATTCACATGGATTGCAAGCTGCACGTTTCTCTTGCTTTGTTTGTAATGATGACCACCTCAATAAGTACCTAGTACTATTCCAATGTTCTGGTAACTCAGAATAATAATAATTGACTATGTAGAAGTGTTAAAAGATAAAAGAAACGAAGATAATTATTCTTTTACTGTCCTTGCGCAGAAAGATTATACCGTAGTTTCCGCCATTCATTTTATAAAGCAAAGGACGTCTTTGTCATGAATAACATGGCTTGTTTATTTATAACAAGTCAATTTATTTAATTATTACTATTCTTTTTCTTTTTTTCTTTCGCTATTTTATCTTATCCTTTACTAACATTATAATTATCTTCTATTAATAATGATTAGTTAAATAAATATTATAATTAATTACATTATAATAAATATGACATAGGTGGATAAACAATCGAATAACTATTGCTTCCAAACCGGCGTGCCAAGCAGCAAACTCACCTTTTAGCTTCAGGGACAGATCCTTCACGAATAGCTAAGTAATCACCGAATCAGTCCCTCAAACCCGTCCACCTCCCCAAGTGTCCCATTGGATCTGGTCACCAGCAAACCGTCAGTGAAAAAAAAAAGAAAATAGAGTTAGCTTATATACGTAAAACAATGCGATACTTACCTTATACTTACCCAAAACCTTCTACCCGTCATCTAAAAGCTGTGTAAAAAGGAGATGTCTGAAGAGTGTTCCGGGCATCCCCCGTGACCCACTCATCAGACCCGTGCCAGATCACTTCACCGCCGGCGAGCACTGGGGACAATGGCGAGTAGGAGGTGACTACCCGCTATCCGATCCAGATCCACACCCGTCCGCCAGTAGAGACAAAAGAGAGCAGCCACCTAGTAAACCAGTTCAAAAAGCAATAGTTTGTTAGTTAGCGATTACCATCCACCATTTGTCTATTTATCTATCTCCTCTATGTCTCTTCCCCAACCTTCGGGTTCGACATGTGTCGAGTATTTGTGTCATTATCCACTCATATCCATGGCTTGTATCTATCAATGAGATGCTCAAACCGCTTTGAGGAGGCATGCTTGGTTATTGGCATTGGAATATGCCGAGACTTGGCGCGCCGATGAGAATAATAACAAAGCAAGGGCAGTCCAAGAGAGTTGTCAAAGTAGTGAAAAGAGCGAGATAAGTGTGGAAAACTTCTTGAAATAGAGGAAGTGACTCGTATGTAACTAAGTGACATAATCCGTATTATAATAATTCGTTAGTTATTTTATGACGCGACTATTTGTTTTACTGAAGACGAGAACATACCTGTTTGCTGAAAAGTCGTCGAATATCCGAATAAGTTAATAAACATACGCTTTTTTATTGCATTATTCATTCGGTGCTGTACACGTTAATAATGAGGATTTGTGTGTGTACGTTAATGCGCGGAATGTTCGCTCTTGTGCGTACTCTTTCGTGTTGTTGTGAGTGTTAAGAATTCGTTGCTTGAAGATTGTTCATGAGTTGTAGCAAACTGTTGTATGTGCGGAATATGGAGTGACGACAAACGTTTGTTCGTATTTAAGTGACGTTTGTATTGGCGCTTTTGAGGAGGAGAGGAGAAGCGAAGCAATATATGTGCAATGGAGAGAAGCGTCTGAGTATATATATGAGTAGACGCGTGTTTGAACTCTTTTATTGGTTATGTGGTAGATGAACTGTGTCGTTTTTGAGTGTTAAGAGTTTGTCGTTTGAAGACTTGTTCGTGAGTTGTAGGAAACTGTCGTACGTGCGTAATATGGAGTAGCGGCAAAGGTTTGTTGCGTATAATACGTGCGCAACGGAGGAAAGCGTTTGTTAATATGAGTATTGGTTTGTGGCTGATAAACCGTGTCGTTATTAAGTGTTAATGGTTCGCTGTTTGAGGGCTTGTTCGTGAAAGGTTTGTTGCATTGTATATTTATAACGTTGTATTTGCACTTTGGGCGATACATGTGCAATGGAGAGAAGTGTCTGAGTATATATATATGTATGAGTATGAGTAGACGCGTGTTCGACAATTGGCATATTGTTTCCGGAAATAAAGACAATAGTATATTAATGTAACATTTCGGAGCACACGCAGTAAAAATTAAACTGATCTTTGTGATAGTGATGATATCGATAACAAAAGCGCAAAAATATATATACTGTATGTTATGCAATATGAATTGTCGATTTCGTTTAGATCACGAAATGTCTTGAACAAGCTTGAATATGCAGTCCATGATTGTTACTAGGCCAATAGCCCAGATTTAAATCCCATAGAAGGTTTGTGGCATTTAGCCAAGTAATAATAACATTGACTTTATGTCAGTAATCTCTGAGTAAGGAACCCATTCAAATGCATGCAGAATATGGAATTGAATCAAGTTTTCAATTTCTGTATGATATATGAGCAACGATTTCGGTATCAACGAGGTTTAGCTTTTCGATGATTTCCAGTCTTTCAAATTCGTTTAAACTTTTGTGTTGTTTTATTTTATTTTATTTAATTTTGCAAATGCATTTTATGAAGACACATGATCATTTCTTCGATGGAACGATTTCATATAAAATAGTTTGGCAATGATAATAATAATGAACCATCATCAGTAACTATTATTACTATAGACAGATAAAGATTGACGAAGCACAAATTGTACGAAAATAGGCTCTTGTGCTGCACTCAAATTTGGGTTGCCGATTAGGGAGGATGTCACATGATTTATATCACAAATTTACGCGTTTCGAAACAATAGATTGCGGCACACTATTACTATATAGCTTACCGCTCAAACTCAGATTATTCAATAATGGGCAAGTCATCACCACAGCCAGGCTCACCAGTAAGGCGTTCCCCTCGATTACAGAAAATAGCTGAGAATGCAGCCAGTAGAAGACGGCTGAGTGAAACACGGAGAACGTCTTTAGTGAGTAACAACTGAGAATGATATCTAGTAAAAGTTAGAAATTACCAAGATAAATAAAGACGTTTAATACGCCTGAAAGTCGATACAGTGGCCGCATTTTGTAATTGCTGTTACTAATAATATTATTTCTCAACACCAGGGTCCTAAAAAGAGTTGTCTGAAACAGGCTCCAGCCGATATCACGATAACCAATCTCACGACTATATTTCAAAACAATGATCCTCTTATCGCTTATGATCCTATGTTTGATGATCCAGGGACTATTACGCGTCTAGATTTTGATGATGCTGTCAGGTAGAGAGCAACCTAGAACTGTTTGATCTGATTTAAGCCGGGTTTGTTTGCATCAAATCGCCTATACTCAACCAATTGCTCTTATGCCATATTAAGAGAAGTCGAGTCGAAATCAAGACGGAAATCACTTCGTAGAGTTAGCTTTGCGGATACAGCGCACGTACGGTACGCATTTATTTTATGTTATTACAACAAACAAACTTGATGATATTGTTTAAAGCGATTAAGTCTTTTAATTTAAATAATTTCAGTCTGTTTGAGCAAGAGAATGCAAACGAACCAGATTTACACGACATCACGATTACTGCGCCTATCGATATAAACCTTTTCATGTCTAGTGGGGATGCTCATGAAACTGCGATTACCGCTCCCGTTGATACGAATACTGTCGAGGGCGAGAGTGGTGTGCGTGATCTTACGATTAACCCGCCTGTTGAAATAAGCATTGTTGCGTGCGAGGGTAAGGCACGTGAACCCACGATTACCGCGCCAGTTGATATGAACATTATCGAATGCGAGGGTGATTCGCGCGATTATACGAATATCACGCCAGTTGATATGAATATTGTCGAATGCGAGGGTGGTCCGTGCGATTATACGATTACCACACCAGTTGATATGAACATTGTCGAATGCGAGGGTGGTTCACGCGATTATACGATTACCACACCAACCGATATGAACATTGTCGAATGCGAGGGTGGTTCGCGCGAACTCACGATTACCACGCCAGCCGATATGAACATTGTCGAATGCGAGGGTGGCTCGCGCGATTATACTATTACCGCACCAGCCGACATGAGCATTGTCGAATGCGAGGGTGGTTCGCGCGAATTCACGAATACCGCGCCAGTTGATATGAATATTGTCGAATGCGAGGGTGGTTCGCGCGAATTTACAATTATCACGCCAGTTGATATGAACATTGTCGAATGCGAGGGTGGTTCGCGCGATTATACGATTACCGCACCAGTTGATATGAATATTGTCGAATGCGAGGGTGATTCGCACGAATTTACAGAAGAGGAAGAGGATGAAACGAAGGAAGAGGAACAAGACATTAGGGATCATGAAGATGTGATAACACTATTGCCTCTGTTATCTATGAAAGAAATATTGAACAAGTTAGATATTATATTTGCAGGCGCCGTTTTTAATAAGCGAAGAGAAACTATTTCCGAAAATGGTAAGTGCGGTTAGAAATATGTTGTATTTATTTGATTTTTCTCATCGATGATTTGTCTGATTGTAAAAGGGAATGCAACTGCAACTGCAACTGCAACTACCACTCCATCCCTTGTCGATGTCGCGTCCATTGCGTGTATATTACCGCAGTTGAAACTGTTTGAATCTGTGAGTAAGACGATAGTCATTTACACGAATAATACAAATCTCTATCAACCTTTATTACTTCACTAAAACATAACGTCATTGCCAGCCTGGTATTATTATTTAGCTAATTTCATCTCCCATGTTACTCTATCTGTTATAGGGCTGTCAGTTACTCGATAAATCTAATACGGAACTTCAAAACGCCATTGAAAACACTATGAATGACACGGAAGTTCTCTCTCTTTTCAATGAAATAGTGTCTCTCCCACCACACACCCAACACATTATAAAAGTGCGTATATGTAATGTTTTATATTGTGAAAGAGAAACTATAATCATTTACCCTTTTATTGTTTATAGCAAAGATTGCGATTAATAAAAAGGCGATGTGGCTTTATTGCAAAGAAAGATTGGTACGAGTGGAGAGAATCCGGTATTAAGAGTGTAAGGGATCAACTGAACGAGTATTTTGAAACGTTGAAAAAGGTGAACCATTTATACGAAAACAATGAATAATTATAACTACAAATTATTTAATACTAATACTTATCTTACTTTTCTTCTCATCCATAATTCAATGTTACATTTTTGTATTATAAACAGGACAAGGATATGGTCACTCAATTTATACAAGAATCAAAGGATTTATTACCAAAGTTGCGTCTTTATTCTCAACAATTGTCCTCAACATTATGTGATACTAAATCAAGATATGAGCAAATCTTAAATTGCGATCATGAACAACTCAAGAATTTGGAAGATGCAATAGAAGAGCAAGATGTCCAGATTCGGAAGAGACAAAAAGACTTGGATCAAGTGTGTGACGCTATCACTAATCAGAAACAATTGAATGAAAAGTCAAGGAAGGAGATAGCAGAAAAGAAAGAGGTAGTTTTCTAACCCATTTTTATATCGGCATGATGTGGATAACGTGCGTTGTATATGTACTGAATGGGAACATTTGTGCATAGGCATTGGCCGACGCGTATAAGCTGATTAAAGCGACGCGTCGTTATACTAAGAAAGTACTTGATGGCTTTTGTAGTAAGTGTATAATTAACTTTAGTTTATTGCTTATGTGTCCTAATATTAACCTGTTTTCTTTTCAGCCGAGTTGGGAGAGGTTATTGAAAAGTCAAAATGGATGCCTCATAAGATGTCACCACAAGTTCTTGATATTATTTACAACAAACAATTACGACTTGTAGTCAATTATAAGCAATCGCAAACCTGTAATTTCGATTTGTCTCTTGTGTCTCTTGACGGGAATTCAATGAATAAGCAGTTTGTAGGTGATGATGTTACTCTAGAATTTGTTCTGTTCGTAAATTTTTGCTTTGATATTAACTTGATGTTTCGTTATGCAGTATGATATAGCGCTATTCAGTCTTAAATACCTCACAAAGTCATATACATCCCCAGTAACCAAGGAACAGGTAAACACAATCATTACAGTTAAATGTATGATTATATTCAACTGAAAACCCATGCTATTTGTCTCATTAGACTCCCGAACTAGTCCAATTGGTAACCTCATATTGGGAAAAAGTAAATTTACTATATGACGAGATCTCCACCATACGCAAGAAGTGTCCAATTACAATACATTCAGGGGAGGCAATATCCGAGAGCAAAGGAAACTCGGTCGTGCTTCGCGTCACGGCCGAGTTTATTAATGCAGAATTGCGAACGGACTTTTTTGTTGATTTCATTTTTAGGCCTGATAGCATTATAGAATATCCTGCTATGGATGGCGTGTCATGTGTGATTAACGTAGACTATGGATTGGATGAGTAAGTTACAAATGATCTCTGAAAAACTGGTCAAATGCTGTAATGGTGTTAATAACATCGTTTATATTTTCACTACAGTGTGAGCCTGATCTCGAGCATTATAATGCAACGACTGTCGAGTGGTAAGAGGACAGGATTAATTAGAGACGCTTGCGCGGACGTAATTACAACATTAGAAACGCTAGCAAACTCTCACAGACCGAAAGAACAATGTATATAACATATGCCTGAATTTTTATGTGAAGTAAATAATAATTTTTTTTTGGTATTTATTATTGCTTAAACTTACATGTTAACTGTGTAAGTGTGATGGTCTTGCTTATATCTATCTGCTTATACACCTTTATACTTATGAGAGCGTTTTTGTTTATATTTTTCATGGCAATGAAATTGAAGTATTATTATGTAAAACGAGACAAATATAAATCGACAATTCAACCAATTATAAATGGTAATAATTTTTATTATGTTTGATGCTCTCACTCTAAGCATTTCATTGCTGTTATCATTATTCGGAAATTGAAACAATTCGGCTTAAAAAATAGCGAGATAAACATAAATACGTACAGTGGGTGATCAAAAGCATTCGTCACTCCTTGAAATTACTAGTAAAACATATAAAAAATCTTTCTTTTTTTCTAGTATTTATGTGAATCACAATGATTTGTGAAGCTTATTTTTCGATATGTTTAGTTCGTTATGCCGCGTGTGAATTCGAATGTTGTGGTATCATGTTACACATATGAAAATGTATGAAAATCATGTGTAACATGCAAAACCAGCCGTTAGTCGTAATTGGGGAGATGTGGCTGTCTATCGTTAATTAGACGTAATAAATACGCCTTACTACATCACTCTCCAGTCAACTCAATCTTCGTATACACACGTGATATATTTCAGCTACCCCGTACTAATTACGTGATAAATTTTAGCTACCCCATCCTAATTACGTGATAAATTCCAGGTCACGAGCGTTTCATTTAATATTATCTTGTAGCAATTTTTTCTCGCGATTTACAATTGCTCAAGCAATTTATTAATGTACTAGTGAATCTTGCCCACCGAGATGTGGTCTCGTTATTATCCTACGTTATGTCATTATGAGAATCAATTTAAAAATAAATTATATGTTGTGACTTTAATGTAAGAATGCTCCTCAACGCTGATCCCTACGAAGGGGATGAGTCGCGCCTCAATAAACCAAATACGCGTTTGACGGAAGATTTCCGCGAACGCCATGTCCCTTGTTCTATCGAATCCTGATCTTCAACCGGGGACGTTGGTTGCGAGTCTTCGCTGTCTTTGCTATCACTAGTATTACCGCCGTTACTAACATTGCCATCTTGAGTTGGTCTTCTCGGCGAAAGACGTCCCAATAATTTATCCTATATTTCGAAATTATCGATTAGACCAGTGACCATCGTCGAATCAAACCATTGCATGTATCTACTAACCAATACAGAGTCTGCCCCAAAGAGCCCAGCAAACCCACGAACATACTCCTGACTTCTCTCTTCCCATACGGCGAATGTTTGTTTAAGATCACTCCTTAACCCCGACAGATCCTCCTTCACTCCATGCCAATTCTTGTGAATATCTGATAATGATTTCTTCATATTGAGCTCTTGCTCCTTGTAAAAGCAACGGAACGAGTTAACTTTGAAATACAAAAAGTCGTATAACGGCAACATTGACAACATCGATAGTGATATCATCAACCCTGAAATTGACTTTCGTGCATGTGAAAACGCATACCTTTAAGAACCCAATATTCAACTCCTTAGGGGTAAACCCTCTCTCGAGATTCCTTCTAACATATTGATCGTAGTCTTTTACAATGCGGGTGATTAACTCCGAAGTTGATATTCCTTCCGTTCTTTTAGTTGGAAGAAACTTTCCTTGTGCCTTTACAAAAGCGTACACGTCCATCTGATCGCTTGACGCATATGGAATATCGTCGTGGGCGACAAAGTCGATCTATCAAGCAAAAAATTGTGGATTAGGGCTGAATATTTGTAGTATATTCCAAGCAAATTATTAAAAAGGCGAGTAATTACTTGATGCCTCTCAAGAAAATCCTCTCCTATGACCCAAGGGGCATTAGGAATGACTTCGTCCACCCATTTACAATGTCGCACGGATTCTACTCTTTCGTCTTCGGTGAGGACTGTTTTACCTTTGCGAGAATGAGTGGTTGCATCGTCGCAAACTGTCAGATAATATATATAGTGCATGTTATAATGGTGCATGTAATAATATTCCGCGCATAAGCAACCATAACCAGTCTTGTTTCCTAGCAAATATCACTTGCTCTCACACAAACGAATTATGTCCATACCGCCAACCAACAGGTAGACGTCCGGAAAGGCCTTTTTAGCTTGTTCTAAAGACTTTGCGTGTCCGACATGGAAACAATCATATATTCCATCACAGTACACTCGTACTGCTCGTCCGACCGGCGGTAGATTGATTTTAAACGGATATTTTCCTGGTGTATATAAATCGTCTGTCCAGCCAGTAATTGACGCCCTGACAGCCAGCTCCTTCGAGCATTTTGTTGGGGAATGTTCTTCATATGGGGGTGGGTGCGGGAAAGATTCACTCACATCGGTTGTAGTTCGGTCTCCCGTCGGTTTATGTGAGTCGTTGTTGAGTTTTTGACGTTTTGCGAGATGAGACATTACAGTTTTAATGTAATAAAATGTGGAGAATGCTGCAACAAAATCATAACGCCACAGTATAAATTCAGGGTTCAAACACTGCCGGACGCCACAAGTTTGTCTTAAACCCTATTTGTCGTTTTCATTTCTTCAAGTCCAAAAGTCAATTAGATCGGAATGATCAAGGTCGTTTCTGGAAACTTGTTGATGGTTGGCTAGAGGTAATAGCATTGATCAAATTTTTGCGGAATGAAAAATTGATCACAATCTTGTGGCACCATACCCAGCTTTTCGCATGGTAATGACATGTGAAAACCTCTATGATGGAAGTGTTCTGCAGCACATGAAAGAATTCATCACCGAAACATTCTCATAACATCGTCAGTAGCATTAATGGTTCGTCGACATGTATTAATTATTGCAACAATAATTGCAGATGGCAATCACGATTTCGTATCAAACGATCGACGTAACCGAGCCGCATACCATAAATAATATAAAAGGCTTCATTGGAAACCGGATTGTTGGTTACAGACGTTAGTATTAGCCAATTGCATCACGGTTATACGTTTTTAACCCGACAATGGACAGTATCCACGGTACAAGATAGATGGATATGATAAAAACAACATAAACAAGATGTTATATGTAAAAATTGAACCCATGGGAGGTGCATCGACCGTCCAAGTCACAAATGGAAAACTATTATATTAATGCCCCTTTATACTACTACAACGTCGAAGCAACAGCAAATCAGACCCTAACGTTGACAAATTACTTCCAATATCAACATAATAAACACAACTCCAATATCCATAATCGTAACGTCAACAACCGTGAGACCGCACAAAAAATAAAGGAAAAGAAGTACCACGGCTATAGTGACCAAAAATTTGCAATTTGTAACCGAAGCGGGTTTGTGTGGTGTTAAAGAGGATAAATAAAACTTGACGATGGGTATTCGATTATGTCGTTGCTTTAAAATTCGATGACAGAAATTATGGACAAATTAACTTGCACCGCGGCATGTCGTGGTGTATTAATATGCCATCTGAAAAGCTTGAGACAAGTAGTTTATGGACTATTATTAGTGTCTTTTTACCTAATAGAACGGATTGTCGACCAATATAGTCAGTGGCTATTTTATTGTTTCCGATAAATGCCAAACACTAACCAACAAATTTCAATCGTTCGTTTGTGTGTTTATAGCTCTTATGAGTCAATACTTGTTAAAATGTTTGTTGATTGTTAAAACTTATACCAATCCTACCAAGAAACTCATTGTCTTCGTCTGCATCCCCTATTTGCTATATAATACATAAATTTTATTTATCGCCTTTTTTGCCATTTTTGTCCCCTGTTACCAATTGATTACTTCTAATTGCCTAGCAATGTTTTATTACTACGAGTTAGAATGCAAACGTTCTTCACGTTTTATTACACTAAAGTATGATATTCTTGAGATTAAGCTGCGAAATCAACATTATTAATCTATTCTTGGAATGAAACAAGTGTAATTGGAATAACTAAAAAATGTTGCTTGTCAATATGATTTGATATGATTCTTCATGAGCTGTATAATAAATATTCTTAATCAGAGCTTATCTCGTTATTCTCTCAAAGTCTTTTTTAGTCTTGCGTTTTCGGTTTTTAGCAGTCATGGTTACTCTTTCAGTAATTTTGTTTGTAGCCTGCTCGTAATTTCTATAACGCGTCGTTGGCAATGTAGCAGAAATTTCCAAGGTAATAAAAATCGAGAAACGAAACTCTTAATAATGACGGATCTCTGCTATAATTAGCCCTGCAGACTACTTCCAAAACATTAGACGCTTACGATTAGAAAGATCACACACTACAAGAAAGAAGACGAATGTGATTATAGAACATAATACACTATAACAACGTAATACTGCTGCGGCGATTAATATTTTAAAACCCATACATTTTATTTATGACACAGTTATTTACTATATTTAACAGACGCAAAGTATGTCGATATTATTTGTGGAGATAAGAATAATATAGTATACAATAATCACAGTTAGGTAGCATAATACCAGATAAATTAACATTCACGCTGACAACACACAGAACTATCAGACCATCAAGCTCAATGCGTATAGACGTGGCATCTATAAGAAGTGTTTAAATTGTCTCGATATAGAGACACAATAAACCATCGGATCCTATTCGAATAGAATCCTGAGTAAAATGAATAGAACAAATAAACAAGATTTAAGAAAGCAAACACATAACAATAGGACATTTCAAAGATATACAAGTTATGCCACATAAATAATCTAGGAGTGCAACGATATCAACTCGATAAGTCAATCTCCAGAGCATACATTCCTTGTAGGTTTTCAGATATAGACAACATGTATGCATCGATACACTTCTTCAGATTCCCACATAACACATATTTAATGTGTGAATCTCTTTCGCCAACCAGCCCCAACTGATGCCCATCTTTCCCATTAATTTTTTGCTCATATTGCAATAGTTCATACATGAATTTCAAGTTCGGTTGGATAATAACATTCAAACGGCGAGCACGAACGAACAGATAAGATGAGACAAGAGACCGGTTGAGGTGGCGCATGATGTAGGCAATTGTAATTGTAGCAGAGCGTGAGACACCTACGCGGCAGTGAATTAGAACCTTACCGTTGGCTTCGCGGGCACTTTCTGTATGTAATGAATGCAGAATAAATAGTGTAAATAGAGCGGGTGGGTAATCAATTGATTGTGAGATTATCAATAACAAGTGCCATTGAGATATTAACAATCAGTGACTGATCCTCACTTAGGGCATTCGTCTGATTCTCACTCGCATGCTCTTCTTCATCCTGATCCATTCATACCAATCAAAATCGTCGTCCCTCTACAGACTTCTTCTAATTCCATCCCAACTTATATCCCTTTTACTTACCAATAAAGTTTACACATCCATCTAAATGTCTCCATAGGCTATCAATTCCATCGTCAAATAAATTATCCAAAAGATTTACTTTGAACTCTGTTGGATCCAATCTCGCATCTTCCCCAACAGATAGGATGTGTGTTATTCCTAATGCTTTCAACATTCCACCATTACATGCATGATTCAAATTACCCAAATACAAGAAAGGTAGAATTCTACTGGGAAAACTTCCCTCGAAAAACGGTGATTGGAACCAATATATGACCTCTTTTTTTTCATGTTGTTTCTTGTCAAACCCATTCCGGGTTCGTTTATGCTCCCAAACAAGGTTTTCTATTTGCATTAAAGCACTAACATCATTAGGGTAGACAAAAAAGCTCCTGGATTCTTGCAGTTTCAGATACGCTTCTGGTAATGGTAAATGTTCCTTATACATCAAATATGTCAATGCCAATAAACTCGTTTCCGTATATCCATCAGCACAATGAATAAGCACTCTTCTTCCACACTCATTTGCTTGTTTGTCAATAAACTCACATAGAGTAATCAATTGCTCTCCTGCGCTGTCAACATTTCCGCTAGCTAATGTTGAAATACAATCCAAGTTGCATATCTCTGTGGGAGGAGCGGGTGGAATAGAGGTTCGAAGAAGAGTAGACGAGGCGATAGAAAGATCAGCTGGTGTGGGCATATCAGCAACGTCATGTGCTTCGATGCAGATGGAGAATTGATAAGGGTTGTCTTCAAGAAGGGGGGTTGCCGAATCAGCAGGGTCCCCCTCTTTTAGTACAGGCGCGTCTTGTGAATTCCCGAGCTGATAAAGCAAAAGACATGTAAAAAAGAAAATTATAATCAGTGAATCAGATCTCTAGTCAATAACAATAAACGCCTAATCTTCTATTGATTGACGCTATTGTATTCAATGGTAGTGAGTACAATATATCTTTTATAGAAAATCGAATATTCACCCAAACGTTGGTCGAGATTTCTAAGGCAGCAGTTAGTAAACGCATTTCCTCTCGCTCTTGTTCTAAGAAATTAATCTTGTTACGTATGATGCCTTGGCTGTCTATCGAAATGAGATCTGGGAATTCCTTTTCAAAATAAGAAAAAGGCTCTGCAAAGAATGTAATTAGAATATATGTGATGGAATGAGTAAGATGACTGATTAAACAACCACTAATGTAATTGACGGTAACGAACATCCAAAATTAGGGGTGATAATCGTAGCAGCGATTTCACACTTAAACGTAAGTTGCATTGCATGTTTATCGACAATATCAATTCAATTGACTCGGCCGATTGTTCTATTCTTCACACTCCACATCCATCTCAATGCTTATCTCACCTATTATGACAAACGTCTCGTATTCTATTCCATTTGGCCTTGTTTCGCGTAGATATGATTGCGCACGAGAGGCTTGTTTCGCAATTTCCAATACGTTCTCATCCAGCCCATGTTCTCCATATACAATTATATCACTAACAGTGGCATATTTTGCTACTTGCCACTTAAAATTCCTTAAATTAATTCCTTCACCACAATATATGTCCAAAAAACCTCTCGTCTCTCTCACGTTTCCCGTATTAGAACTTAGTATATCGTCGGGCGATACAGCACCAATTAGCTGACACTTTTGACCTGTTGCTTCAGCAGATACAACCGTTACTCCCCTATGCGGAGGCACTCGGATTTCGGTAATACCAAAAAACTGATTTTGCTGTGTGCTTCTTCCGTCTACGCCATGCAACCACGGGAACAGCAGATCGTTCGGGAGAGGCGTAGAATAGTATGCCTCATGAATAAGATTATACTGTGCCGCGGACAAAGCACGTACGGGGGGATCATCGGAAACGAGGGGAAACGCGTCGAATACTGACGACGAGGGCGAAGGCGATCTGGCAGCCGTTGGCGAGGGAGGGACTGGAGATAGGGGGGATGTTGGAGGAGTGAAAGGTGAGGGCGGTTGCTGTTCTACCGTTGCCATGTGTGATAGAAGGAAACAATAGAGATACGTGTGTGTTATGTATGAAGTGAAGGTCCTTTATTAAATACCAATCGTTGATTGTAGATAACGGGATCTAAACCCTTTATGAG